GCCAAGTTACAGATGTATTTGCTTTCTGGGTAATTGCCTCCTCTTGGAGTTTATGAGCCATAAATGCCACTATAACATGGCTAATTAAAGTCTAAAGTGCCCATAATTAATAAATCTACCTTTCCTTAGAAACCTTGTCTCACATACCTATAGCAGATTCTTAATAACTTTTGTCTATATTAATCCACTTACCATCCTTGCTAGTATGAAATACCATTATAGAAAAAGAAGTTAGATTTTACTATTCTTGCTACACTAAACCTCTGTATGGTTTATCTATGACTGTGGACAAAAGTTTCCATCTTATCCTTGCTGATTATATTCCCTCAGGCTCACAAACTGTCTTCTGCTTCCAGTCAGTGCAATTATTTAAGTTATCCTCTTGTTAATGAGACTGGGAGTGAACACGCTGTTCAGATGCTGTCTCCTGGGGCTCATCCTGTACTTTTGCAGTCTGTCTTAGGCCTACCTGGCTGGATAATGAGGGAGGGATGAGTAAGACAGATCACTTGTCTGAAATGGGAAACCATCTCAAGCCAAAGCAGAGCCATTTCAGTCAGACTTAGATCTTTCAGAACGCTTCTTTCCAGTCAAAGTAACACCTTATTTGAAGATAAACAATACATTTAATTTATAGTAAACTGAATTCCCAATTAAAATGTTATTTCAGTAAATGAAACATCTTAATTTTAATGAAGTATCTTAGATTTTCCTAGCTGCTTCATTTAACTTCTTGTTTCATATAAGTTATTTAAAGACTAACAGGTGTGGAAAAAGTGAAGTGGTAAGCTTTTTCCTTTCCTAAGAGAAAATGAGCAAGATAGGTCCATGGAATCAAGAAATACTCTGAAACTATGTCTAAACTGAAGACACATAGGACCAGCTTCAGATTCCAAGCCTGACTGTGTCCTGAGATTATACCAGGCATCTGTTCAAGGGACATAGGTCTACCAGTGCATCTCCTTCCTGCATGCCATGTTGTCAGTGGGAAAAACAGAAAGAAACCACAACATATTCCAGACTCATCCTTGATACGGAGAAACTGGAGCTGTGACTCCAGGACAAGATGATATTCACGCATACTGTGATTTAGATGTGTCCTTAACTTACCCGAGTGGTGGTTTCTTAATTTCTCCCCTGGCAAACTAGATGCCAAAGGTCCATTTGACCTGAGAAGGAGCTTTCTCTCCATCTGTGTAGGTAGGCTCACTCACAAAGATAGCTCTCTCTGGCAATGTACAGTGGCTGTCTTTGGCCAGGTCTTCTAAGCCCATTAAGCAGCAGTTACGTAAGGTAGGAAGAAAGCATTTGTACCACCTTAAATTTACAGGAGATATAAATAATCTTGGATACTGCAGAAACATTGCATCCCTGTGAGCCCCCCCTCCACCCTGGAAGGGACAGCAGCCCATGGAAGACCTGTGACAGAGCAGAGGAAAAGATCAAAATGGAAGGAAGAGCAGAGAGAAACCACTACATCCTGACCATAACATCCTCCCCACTCCACACTGCTTCACTGGCTTCCTTGCTGAAGGGACTGAGTGTAACCGGTGGTGGTAATAAGGAGAGGAGTCTGGAGTGAAGTTGATCCTGGGAAAGGGGAGGGAGAAAGGTCTCTTCCCTATGTGTGTTAATGTTTGTCTTTTTTCTTCATATATTACCAATTAAATATATGTAACTTGGCAGTAAATTAAATTCATTTTCCCCAGGTAGTCTGGTTTTCCCACAATGGCAATTGGTAAGTGGTCCCCTTGTCTTCAGCTCAACCCCCAACCTTTCTCTTTCCTTCTCCTTTTTCCTTGCATCCTGCTGAGGGAGTTCTGCTTCTGGCTGGGGAGAACCCATCTCATACAGCAGAGAAGCTGGGACAATGCCTGCAAGCAACATCTGGTTTTATAGGAGGGAAAACATTGAAGGCGGGTGATGAAAGTGAAAATTATGATATCTCAGTCCTACATTGCATTCTCAATTACACTCCAGTTTTGCACTGAAATAAATGAAATTACCCCGTTAACAGAGCTAATCTGAAGGAAGCATATGGCCTCAGGTTCTCAACATAGAGCAAATAAAGAGCTATTACTTAAGCTATGCTATGGGGCCTATGCACTCTCTCCCACTTGACTTGAGCAACAACAGTCCCAGTAAGCATATATAATTGGATCACGTTCAAATACAGAATTATGCTGTATAATGATTTCTGTATAAACACTAATTATTTCTAACCAACAGGTGTAGGCATGATAATAACCTTTGAAATTGCTGGATTTAGTGAATTCTGAAGGTTGACTTGCAAATGGAACTGATCAGTTAAAAAAAACAGACTGCAGAGAAAGCACTGCTTCACTGAATGATCAAGTTATATTCTTTCTACTGAGACAAAAGGGACAGGCTGTAACTTTAGTCCCTAAAATCCTTTCCTCCCTTATTCTAGGTTTCTAATCTAACAGCTTTTTCCCCTGCAATTAAAACAGACCACATCTTGTAAAATTCATCCTCTTACTCGTATACATGGTCTACTTCTGTGTCTGACGATGTTAGTATGCCTGAGGGTTTCCTGGCAAACAAGCCCACATTTTGCTGGTGCTCATGTGTCAAACCTATACATATTCTGGGTAGCACTTGATAGCAGAGCAAGTACAGGAGTCATGCAAGACTTGGCCCATATAAAACTCAACTTGTGCAATCAACTATTCAGATTGCAGAGGTTCTGAGGAGAGAAAATCTAATATTTCACTGGCAAGAGATGGTAGTTCAGCTTCTAGGGTCCCATGATTTTTTGTGCGAAGATGAGTCTGGGCATGTCCATAGGCCCCTGGCTGACCTGGGGAAAAGAGCCTTCGTAACCCCATACGCTTTTTTTTTTTTTGCACTTCCTGTGGCATTTGTCTATGCATCCAGGCTCCCTTCTCAGTGCAGTCCCATTTATAGCAGGCAGCTTTAACTTGCCAGTATTGTAGATTCTTTCCTTCACTGCTTTATGTAGCTGGACCAGGTGTTTTAAATGACTTTTGAAACTCAGCAGCAAAGCCCTGGATGTTCTCTCTGGTTCTTTGGTAGATGTCTGCCTCAGGGGTAGGATTTTATTTCCCAGTGTGTTCCCAGTTCACTTTGGATTGCAAAGGGCCTGAAGATGGCAGGGCTAGGTTAGTACAAATTTGGCTTCCCACATGTCGCTACCAATCACAATGTTCAATTTTGCTCCTGCTCTTAGAATGTGCGATCCAAGCCTGCATGTTAACTGCTATCTTGCTGACATCCTAAAGAATATTATAGAGCACAGGTATTCTATTGCTGAAATAAAGGCTCAGTGATAGCTCTCCTACAGTGCTATGAATAGCTGTGAATACTCTTAGGGACACACTTCAAGAGAAGGTATCAGCCAGTGCTACACCCTGGGCTAAATGCAGCTCCTTTGTGGTGTCACTTTAATAATAAACAAACACATGAAAATTATTATTAGAATTATTAGAAACAGAAAAAACCGTGGTGTCCAGATCCATGAGTTGATATGAAAAGACAATGCTGAGAAGAACCATCTTGCCTCTTTCAAGAACATCAGCTTGTCTTAATTTCAGAATTTACCTGGACATGGGATCTGAAGCAATGTGTGTGTGAAAAAAGGCAGGAAGCACAGAGGAGGGTTACTGCAGCTGAGTGCGCAGCAAGGCGAAGGGGGTAGGGTCCTGTGCATCTCTATGTTTTATTTTTGATGCTTTTGGTTTCTCAAAGTTTGGTCAGCTATGCTAGACAGTCTTTGTGCTGTGTTAAGGGTGAGAAGAGGAGACAGAGGACAATCAGGGAATACTCCTAGAGATGAGATACTTCACAGAAATTCATGCACAACCAAATTCAGCATAGCTGCAACCCAGTCAGAGGGCTATATAAGAAAGAACTGGAGAGGAGGCACTGGCAGTAGAAATATGCAAGGAACAGGAGACTGCCCAAAGCCATTCCAGGGTCCTTTGAGAGACTCTTGGAGATTGCCTAGAGGATACCATTCTAGAACGTCATATGCACCTCAATAATCCTGTGTCATATCCAAAAACTCTATGTGCAAATGTGTAGACAGCTGAATTCAGCTCCAAAGCTTCCTGAAGTAGGAAGGCAAAGACTGAGGAAAAGAAAGAGTGAAAGAGCAATTGGTGGAATAGGAAGGAAGAAGCAGTTGCATCAGGTTTGCAATACTTTGTTGGTTTGTTACCTGAAGTGCAGGAAGGTACTGCATGTGGTTTTTATAATAGTGAACTCAGACTTCTATGTGTGCTTCATGTGTATATGCAAATTATATACACCATTACCTGCTAAATAGCTCAAAAACATTTGCAGTCCTATTTGAGCAGTCTAATGAGTATGCAAGTGTGCATGAAAGTGATGGGATGTACTTCTCCATATTTCACAGGTGGAATGACTTTCTCCAGTCCCAGATTTCATAAGACTTTCACTCACCTGAGCAATGTCTGGCTTCTGCCCTGCTACTGATATAATGGTTTTGGGGATTTAGTCCTAATTTTTGGAAAATAATAAAATACCTCTGTCTAGCCTGAAGTTTAGTTATTTTGATCAAATCCTAATTCACAGCTAGGCTTTGGAGGCTGAGTAGAGCTTCTATCAGCAAATACTACCATCTCAGAAGTACTTCAGGCTATGTATAGGGCCTATAAATGCTTCAAGTTCTCAGAGAGAGATTTTTTTTTTAATTATTATAATTTATTTAGAACTCTCTCATATTTCCCAGCCTTCAGAAAGTATGAAAGTATGTTACATACTTTTGAAGTCTTTCTTCTAAAATATAGTTAGCATATAAAAAGCAACTAAATTATAAACAGTATGCACCCGTAACATTAGCTAATTTTAAATGTAATCAGAATACTCCATGTAAGAAAGATATCATAAAGGAGCACATTTAAGGAATGAGAATCAGTCTGGAAATGGTATGTGAACCTTTTAGATTAAAAATAATTCTACTCACAAATGAGAAAGAAAATGCATACACTGCATACCAGGAATCAAACCTGGCCATGAACTGGTGGTATCTGACATTTCCATCTTCATCAAGGGGGATTCTGTCAAGTAGCAGCACAAATTCTTCATCAGTAATCTCCACACCAAACCTGAAACAAACAGCAGTTAGCAGCACTTGCTTGGGGAGTTCACATTTGGGTCAACAGTACCCACAATACCCGGAGCATATGGCTGCCATTAACTCTTTGTTACTGCTTCGGTCCTCAAGATCAAGAGCACCACGTGAATATCAGAGGTTAATCAGGGTTTTGATCGCTTCAGCTTTCTCAAAGAAAGAAATTCTACCCTAGAATCCCTGCATTGGTGGGGCACAGAAATAGAAATACTAGCATATTGAGTGGTGTGCAATTGTCCTCTATAAAAAGTTATTCATTACACTAAAACACTGGTATTGCTTAAACTAGTTAACTCTGAAAGGCTTTTCATTTGGACTGTTTAGCATGAAAGAAAATGTAGAGAAAAACTGTCTTTTCGGGGAAACAGACTTAATGCTTTTGGAAAGCATTTCATAATGGCTTTAAGGACATTTTGCATACAAATATTTAAAAGTGTCAGTGTTTATTCATCAGCAAGAAAGTGTTTTCACCTCCCCAGAACAATCAAAACATAATCCTTGAAATACTGACATAAACAGGAATGACTTAATAATAAAGAACAAGGCATTCATTCATCATTTGGCAAAGCTGATTAAACTCGGCTGACTTTTGGGGGGATATATTCCTTGGCAAGGCAATGAAAGTGTATACAAAGCATAATATTTATTTGTTGTTTTGGTTTCCTCCTCATGCTTTTCCATTTACATAACTCAAGAAACCTTTCTGTTAGAGTGGCCTTTGTCCTTAATTATTTTGGGGATTTTTGACTCAGAGTTTTGGAGCACAGAGAATGGCTCATTCTGTAGAATCCTTTACCCTGCTTTATCTCTGAGGAAGTCTGCTGAGGAGGGCAGATACAGCTGCTTTTGCATGTGCCCTCAGCTGACAGTATCTTATTTTACTGGCTTTCAGCTTCACGTATCTACGTTACTTTTCATTTAGACACGTGCGTTCAGTGAAGCTTGAGTTCTGCCAAAACCACAAAGAAACAATGTAAACCTGTAGCATTTTCCCCCGCCTGTGAAGAATATAAAACCTAGCCTGGCTGGGGACTGCCAGCAAGAACAACATTTCAGGAATCCATATCTGTTCTAGGGCTAAACACTGTTGCAAGGGTCATTTGAAGACTAGCTCTCTGCATACATGATAATGGACAACATCTATTTGCTTACATGATCAGTTAAACAAAATCTCCTAATCCTTCTCTCCATCACTTGCACCAAAGGATGCCATCACAGAACGGAGTTTGAGTTGTATATAAAGCATAAGCAGTGGGGAGTCAATGCTGAGAGCCAAAAAGTTATGTAATCTGGCCAACTTCTAGCTCTGCAACTAAACTAGATAGATTGTTTAGTCATTATATTACTTCTCCGTGTATAACCATGGTTACAAAGAAAGCTAAATGGGTTCCATGTAAAGTAACACAGGATCCAAAGGAAGAAAAAGAGCAGTACTTGCTGCAACATTTATGATTTTGTATAGCAAGCATATGTATCTGGGGTAAAGAAAACAGCTTTTAATATTCATCTTCACTATCTTCAAATAGGTGGGAGAGCAACAAAACCACAGACTGTTTCAAAAGCAAAATGAAGCTTTTTGAACATAGTTCTGGAGTTAAGACAAAGAATTGTCTGGCAACTTCGTTTGCCTCTACAAGAATTTTGTAAAGCCTAGAAGGACACAGAAATTCACATATAGATCATTTCAGCACCTTTAGCTGTGAATAAATCATCTTTCAATCAGTAATCGGAGAGTCTGCTCTGTGGGATCTGGCTTGTATTATTTTCCCTCTCCACACAGCAAAAGAAGAGTGCTCTGATTGCACCAGTATAAGTGTTTGTAAAAAAAAAAACCAAAACATAAACTATGATTTTTTTTGCTGTCAATCAAGAAGATTTTTTATGTAAAATGAGGGAGAAAAATCTTCACTTTCTGTGGTCACCAAATGGAAGAAAAAAACCCAAACCAACCAAAACCCTATAATAGGCAAATGAGTAAGGATTTTCTTGGTACTGAACCCAATCTGATCATGACTTGTTACTGAGAATACTTCTCATTCTATAGGTTCAGTGTAGCTCTGAATAACTGCTCATTTAATTTAACTTAAGGAGGCTGATATCTCATTACTGGCTGGTAGCCTGAGCTAAACAGTCAGTTCTCTAACATGGAACGAATCACAGCACCACAAAAATCACAATGAGAGCTTTGAATCATACTTCTTTAGTAAGAAGAATGTATCAGATTGCTCTCCATATCAAGCTACATGAAGAGACTACTGACAAAAAAAGGGTTGTCTAAATTTAACAATCAAGAAAGTTACTGAACTGTCAACTGCCAAGATGGACTTATTTATACCCACGTGGATGAATTAACTCTCTTTCCTCTGTATAATTTCCCCCAGCATTAGCATATAACTGATGTGTGATAGCTGATCTGTGCAGCTGATCTCTGAAACCCCAGACATATACTTGACAGTGTATGAATTTATTTTATGAGAAAAACACCACCATGATTTAATGGGCTAAATAAATAATGTAATTTCTATATGGAGGGTGGGTCAGAATCATGCTCTCTTCAACACTTCACTGTTTTGACTTGAAACATTGCCAGTGACACACAACTTGCCCCTGAATGTGGCCAGGGAAAACAGCAGTCTGGAAAGAACCCAGTAATCTCTGGGTTCCACAGTCCCTCCTAGGAGATGTCGAAAGTCATTTCACTGTTGAAGGTCCCCAAGCTTCTGAAAATGCATCCAGGGAGATGGGAGCTGAAGGTCTGGTCTAAAAATACACCTGTATACATTTACTTTGTAGGTTGGTGAATCCTATTGGAATAGCTCGGGAATCAATACAAGGTTCTGGAGGGTTTCCTATCCCTGTCTTATGTCATATCTGCAAGGTCAGAAAATACACAGACTAGTCCAAAGGAGTAAAACTGGGGGAAGGGAGGAACAAGGCTGCACCAACTTTGCATACTGACGTTTTCTCCATTATTAAAATTCCAAAGACCTATTTTACATTACTGATCTCAGGATTTCTGGAAACATGCTGTGACTACATTACATCCATCGTGCTCACTGGTGTGGAAACAGAAAAAGCATTGAATGCAGAGAGTGTACAGCCCATACCATTTGTTATCCCAAACACTGATATTATACCTTTCATTCTGAACTTCCCCTCAAGCTTTGCAAACACTTCCATGATACACAAAAGCAGTAAACAGGAGGATCAAGTGCTCCAGCATGCAAATGCAGCCACCTGAAACTAAGCAATGATTTAATCAAACAGCAACAGCACACAACAGATGAATCACTGGGTTCTCCAGGGCACATTTTCAAAGGCAGGTGCAATGGGCAGGGCTTGAGGAAAAGATATCTATTAACTGGAGGGCTAAGCCTATTTAGAGAGAAGCTGATGCAAAATGCAAGGGACTGGTTAACAGCGAGGTTGAGAGAAAATGCTTTGGCAAGAAGCCCAGAACGCTGGCAAAGGGAGCACCTGCAAGAAGCCACATGTGATTTTTTTTGTACCAATACCTACATTTGCACATGCAAACTGGGAAATTATTATTTCCATTTTATCATACATTTAATATCTGTGATATCACTAAATAAAGGCAGTTCTCACCTCTCAGATCTTAAATGAAAGAGTCAGAGATGAAGATAAGATACAATAGGAAATGTTGCAACTGTTTCAGTAGGTTACTGAAGTGTCTTTTAATCATCTATAAAAACACCACTCCTGGGTATCAAGTTAAAAGCATGGTTTTAAGAGAGGTCATTAGTGGAAAAGAGAAGATGCATAAAGCCATCCTCTGCAAGAAGACCACTGGGAAAAAGCACAAAAAGCAGAGATGGAGAACTTAGAAAGGTGTCAGGACCAGCACAGATGGCAAGGCAGGTAAGACAGCAGACCAGGTCAGAGGGATAGGCAAGCCTTAAACCCTGAACCCTGTGCATTTGAAGCAAGAATTAAATATTTATAGTGATGTGATTATAAGGAGAAATACGTGGGAAGAATTTTCAAACAGGGCATGATATAGCCAGAAATACAAGCTAAGGGGATTGTTCCAGCAGTGTGACCTCAGATCTGTCCAAGGAACAAAGGCAAGGCAGAAGTACTTGAAATTGTTGAGAAATAGGAGGAAGTTGTGAGGTGCACAGCAATACAATTCCTGTGTGCAAACCTGTGCATGGAAATTTTGGTTTCTGCTGGCAGGCAAAGCATAAATTTGCTTATAAAACATGGCCTCTCTTCAGCACCTCTTGTGCATTTTCTAAGAGATAACCAGGCATCTCACCTGTGAAAGCAACATTAATGAATCAAAGAGCCACAAAGGAATTGGAAACAATCTCTCTCTTTTGGCAATTTTAAAGGAATCAGCAACAAGAAGTTCAGCAAGTACTTAAATATTTATGAAAAGAAAACTTAACAATGGACTTCACGGAATCTAAAATTATGTTTTATTGGCATAAGTAACAAGTTCTACTTCCCTCCAGAAAATCTTCCTTTTCACACCACCTAGGCAAACGGCAGCATAACACAACTAGTTTCCCATTTCATCACAGTTTCTCCAGTAAAACATCAGCCAGAAGGATGCCCACTCCAGCAGCAAAGCAGGGCTTAACCCAGTTCTCTGGGCAGCAAGGTGCTCCTACAGCCTCAAGCTCTTCCAGTCTTTATTTTTATCCTGCTATTTAGACCCTGCTGGTAGGCAACAAACTGCCAGGGATACTGGATCATTTGCAAGCACAAGCAAGTCCATACTGTGTCCAAAATATGTTTGTTTTTGACAGCTAACAATGCACCATGTGGTACATGTACAGTATTTTGTTGAACTGACCAGTTCACTGTGTGTACTTCCCTTCTGTATCTTGCATTATTCCACTCCTTAGATACATAAACCCTATTGTTCAGCATGTCTAGATAGTTATATGACTTTTTGTCATGCCCTAGTACCTGTGCCCTTCACAAACTCATGGATTTTATAATTAC